TAAGGCAGAAAGCTGGTTATCTCTGGAAGGCAGGAGAGAAGGTCACCTTGTTGTTAATGACACAATTGTGTCTATTTGTCACTGTGATTTTAGGACAATTTCTGTCGTCCAGAGTTTGAATAATAATGTACCCATTCTTTCTTCTATTAAGAACACTTTACCCATTTGACCTGAAATTTTGAATACAAAAGTAAAATTGAGTCTGCTGAATATAAGCCCCACTTTTAAATAAAGTGCAGTTTTGGTTGTGATGGAACCGCATAGTTTTAACCTTCTGAGGATAGTTTGTTTTTATTCTTTGTACTTCATTTTAGTATTTACTTCTTTTATGTTCTTGGGTGAGTGGTGCTGCTATTCATGGAAGAGAATTTCAGGAACAAATAAGTATTAACTTTCTTAACTCTCTGACCATCATTTCCTTAATTTGTAAAAATGAGGAGCAAAGATTTCAGGCTTCATGGTATAGCAGATAGAGCACATAATTTGGCATCAGGAAGAGATGGATTTAAATCTGTAGAGGGCTGTCTTTAAGAGTCCTATCTGGGTTTAAGATCCAGGACAAAGTTTGACCTTTGCCCAGGCTTAACCCACAGGGCTCAATCATTTAGGAGGCAGGGCTCTCCAAATCTCCCGCTGCAAGGGAGGTTCCAGAGACATTCCTTCTCATTCTCTGAGCCTTAGATTTACATATCACCCTCTCTGCAGGTGGCCTAGGTGCCAGGGAAAAGTCTTAGAGTTTTCCATCCCAATCTAGGAACTCTGGTTACGAGAAAATAGGTATTGTCACTTCTCAGCAGATGTTTGAGGAGTGTCTCACAGGGATGACTCTTTGTAGCTAGGCTAGATTTTGTCTATTATAACCTGTACCCTCAGATGAATAAACTGAGTCAGTCCTTACTGATCCGCCTGGCCCATGTCTCTAATTTATTTTGTGCCTGGCAACATAAATCCTACCTCAGACACTTATTGGTTGTGTGACCCTAGGCAAGTCACATAATTTTAATAAGCCTCAGTTTTCTTATCTATCAACTGAAGGGATTGTATCTGATAACCTTTAAGGTCCCTTCCAGCTCCAGATACAGGACCCTTTTATCCAAACAGAAATATGAAGAAAAGCCTATAAGTATTCCAAGGGGAGGGGGAAGGGGAGGGAGATCATTTCTACCTGAAATTAGATGCATTTTAACCATCTTAAAAAGTAGATAGGATTTCAACAGAGATGGGGGTCAAGGGAAAGAAGGTAATCCAAGTATGTAAGGAATGGTATGAGCAAAAGTGCAGAGGTAGAAAAGTATAAGACATCTTTGAGAAACGGTGGTTACTCAAATTTTTCTAAAACAACACTTCTAAAGGTGTGATGGAGAGATCCCTGGAGATACCTGGAGATCCCTGGACCCTTTCAAGGTATCTGAGAGGTCAAAACTTTTCACAAAAGTATTCAGATATTTTAATTTGTTGCAGCAAACATTGATAAATATAACCCATTTAAATAAAAGCTCTTTAGGGTCCTCAATAATTTTTAAGAGTGTAAAAGGGTCCTGTAGCCAAAAAGTTTGGGAACTGCCAGTTTAAAGTATAAGTGACATGAAGTATAATGTGAGAAAGACCAGAAGTATCAATTAGAGTTAGATTATGGATGATCTTAAATTAGAAGTTAACCGCAATGGGACAACATTGAGGATTTTTGAGAACTAGAGTGACATGATCATAATTACTTAAACTATATGGCACGTAAGGATGGAATATCTATTATTCCAAAATCAAAACTTGGGGAAACTCCCAATGTGGAAACTTTCTCTTACCCCATGAAGATCAAATAGCAACCTCTCTGTGACTTGGCAGATAAGTCTTAGGGAATTGCCTGAAGGACATAAAAGTTAAAGGACTTGTCCGGAGTCACACAGCTACTGTTAGAAGCAGGATTTGAACCCATCTTCATAATTCCAAAGCTAGCATGCACTTTGTCCATACAGTAAAAGAAAACCAAAAAACCACATATTTTTCTGGTTCTTTCAAATTGAACAAAGTGAACTTGAGCATGGTTAGCAGCCAGAAGCCTAGCTCATGTGTGCTCATTGCTGCCATTCTTCACAATAGATCTCCATCCTTCCAGCCATTGTTTAGGTAGTGATCTGTATCTGTCTTTAAAACCAACACTGTCTAGCCAAGTGGGCTGGCTCAAGTGAATTGAGTCCTAGTTATTTTAGCCATGCCATGGTCTATTTTGGGGCTACATTTAGACACAACCATAGACACCTACAGTAATGCCATCTAGAAACGCAAACATTTTCAATAAGGAAACATAAACTCCTAAAGAAAAGACATTTTCTTTTCTACTTATATCTCTAGTACTTAGCCTGGTTCTTTATATTCTTCCATCCATTAGTAATTCAATGTGGGCCTGAAGTTCAAGCATGGCTTTATAACGAAAGTACTTAAGAAATTCTTTTTACTAAAGTCTGAATCTGCAACAGTATTAGCACTTATATAACCATCGCTACATAGCTTCTAGCACAGCCAGTCTGTCTAATTTGCTTCTGTTATCATTATGAGTGGAAAAGGTCATCTTTACTACACCCAGAAAATCAGCCCCATTGAATCCCCATTGTCTTCCGTTCTATTCATCATGAAACGTTAGACAAAGAATGAACATTTGGCACCTGCTTTGTTGGTATGGCTTTTGCTGAGTGGCTCTGATCATTAAGAACTTCCTAAACCAAATAGTACCCTCTGGAGGTGACTAGAGTCAGGGCTCCCTCGTCAGCCATAGTGTTAGATTCCCACTTAATCTTTAAATGGTGCAGCAATGTCTGGTGATGCATGCGTGAAAAGGAGTGGCTGACACCATGTCTTCAGGGAAAACCAAAGTCTGACAGTGCCTGCAGTGTTCCATATTAGATTGGGTCTGGCTTTTCTGACCACAGATTTTCTTGGTTCAACCTCAGGTACCATCATTCAGTTCCCTCCTAGTAGTCCTGTCTCCTCCCCCTCCCCCCTTCCCCCCCCCACCCCTGACCCCAGCAAGTCAGAGCCTTAAATAAGCTAGATGATGCTTCCTCTGGTTCCTGTTTTAACAAGTAACTCCTGGAACCATTCTAGGGAGGGAGGTCACTATTGCTCCACTCACATGCACGGCCCCATAAGCCCAGGGATTGCCGGCCTGCTCTAGCCCTGGCAATTGTTCTAACGTGGGACATCCACAGTGACTGCTTTTCCAATGTACAAATATAGAATTGGGGTGGGGGAGGGGCCAGAGATAGAGACTGCAGCTGTGTTTTCATTGGTTTAGGGAGCTCCCTTTGAGGGGCTTTCTTTATCAGTAAAGGTCAGTACCTCTTTGTGATTCAGTCTTTAAGAGTTCCTGAGGTGCTAAGAGATGTAACTTGCCCAGGGTCACACAGACTTCGTGCTTCAGAAGCATGATTTAATGACTTAACTCCTGTCTTCCTGGCTCTGAGGGCAGCTTTCTATGTACTACCCTACACTGCCTCTCACCAAATAAATAGAAAATATTTAGAAAGAAAGAACACTGGCAATTGGGGCAGGGAAGGATCAGGAAATGCTTCATGTGGATGACAATGCTTAAGCTAAAAGTGGAAGTGAGGAGAGACAGCATTCCAAGCAAGGGGAATGGCCAGTTCAGAGGCATGCAGTGCTATAGGCAAAGAACAGCTACTATCTTAGTGTAGGACCTCATTACTTCTCATCTGGATTAACTCCAACAGTTTTCTGATTAGTCTTCATACTTCATTTCTCTTACCACTCCAGTCCGTCCTACATACTGCTGTTAAAGAATCCTAAGCACAGTTCTGACCTTGCAACTCTCCTGCTCAATCAATTCTAATGGCTCCCTACTGCCCCTATAATAAAATACAAATTCCTCTGTACACAGCCTGGCCTAAACTGCTTTCTAAACTCATTTTTCATAAACTCCAGCCAAACTAGCTTCTCTACTCTTCATACAGCACTGTATTTCCTATATCTTTGCCTTTGTATTAGCCATTCCCCGTGCCTGGAATGCACTCTCTCCTTAATGTCTCTCTCATAAAACCCTCTCTTCCTTCTAGACACAGCTCAGGAAACATCTTCTTCATGAAGTCTTCCTTATCCCTCCAATTGCTAGTGCCCTCCTTCCCAAACTATTTGGTATTTAATCACTATGTTCCTTTTGTTATTTATTCTTTTAATAATCATTCTGCATATACTTATATACGTACTTCTTGTCTTCCCCTTTGGAATGTGAGCTCCTTGCAAGAATGGATTGTTTCATTCTCTGTATTTGCATCTACTTGATAAATGCTTGTTGATTGAACTAAGACAAAGCAACTAAGTTAAACATTCAAGATGCATATCCCTCAGTTGTTTAAATTTTTGGTAAATAGTTTTAGATGTTTTTATGTCATATTTTAAAATAAATTTTCTGTATATATTATGAAGCATGAAAAGATCTATTTTTGTATAAGAATTCAGACTGTACAAGAAAGCTCTGGAGTCAAACTTTGATGATACCCATGTCTTCAATGTGCTTAGAGAGGTTTTAATTACACTGAGAATTGTAGTGTGTGTGTGTTTAATATTCTGTTCATTGCCAAATCATCAAATGCAGGGCTCTTTGCATAAGGGTATTTCATCAATGTGATTGACATTTACCTCATGAGACATTTTCTTTTCTTTTTTCCCTTCCTGGCATAGATCTGTGCAATTCTCTCTTCACTGATGTCTGCCATCAGATCTGTCCCTAGATGTAGCTGAAAATAATTATATGTTAAAATGTGTCTAACTCTTGCATCATATAGAAGAGCAAATTAAGACTCAAAACAGAAATGACTTGTCCAAGGTCATACATATCTTTAGCGGCAGAAGCAAGATTTCCTGACTATCAAGCTGGAACTTGTTCTCTTACACCCCATTGTCTCTCAAGCAAATGAAGTTTGTCTTTGGTGCTCCTCCTTCCTTTCTCAAGTTCCTTTCCTCTGTTACCTTTCCCATTTCCCTTGCAGATGGCCAGGAGTCTGATGCTGCCACTTCATTCTGGTAATTGAGAAAAGCTATGAGATAAATTCATGCAAATGAAGGTACTGATAACTTAAATGTATTATCCCTCCCTGTTTGTGGCTGAAGGAATAGTTTTTAAAAAGACCTCAGAAAGAGGACAATGCTTAGTCCTAAGGAATTTTAGAAGTTGAGTGGGCAGATCATAAACTGAACTCTCCTGTAAATGTGGACCCCTTTACCATATCTTGCACATTTCCTTGAACTTACTACTATTTATCCCTCCTCCTCCTATCCCTGACAATTCCATTTCTCAAGCCTACCCCTTAACCTATTCCAAAGTGTCCAGTTTAATAAGAGATTGTTCCACATAACCAATGGTTTTCTTATGGTGTAGTATCAGTGCCTGACCTATGTGCTACCTCCTACATGAAGCCTTCCTTGCCCCCTCCCCAGCTACTAGGCTTTCCTACCTCTTCAAATTACCTTTACTTGTTTCTTTGTATCTCCCCTTCTTCCCACTAGACTTGTAAGCCCCTGGAGGGTATGTACTGTTTCAGTTTAGTCTTTAGATTTCCAGGTTCAAGGATAGTGACTTACACATAGTAGGTACTTTATAAATGTTTGTTGAATAAGATTAGAATAAATAAATTCATATGTTCATCACTTCATGCTTGTTCAACCTCAGGGATCACTATCACTGAATTACTAATGAAGTGATGTCTCAAGATGATTCCATCATTTATCCAGAGATGGATGCATATTCTTCATCTATCCATGCTTACTATGTTCATTTTCCTCCCCCATCTTCAACTCTTAGATTTACAGCTGAAAGAGTCATGCACTCCAACTACCTCATTTTTCAGATGAGGAGACTGCAACCCAAAGAATGAAGCTACTACCCCAACATTCTTCCTAAGCTCTGGCACCCAAAACTATATCTCTCACTCCATAGAAAGTCTGGCCATGACATGATACAGTGGTCCTAGCTAGCATCTCCTTATTCCTGAAAGCTGCATCTAGCCATTTAATCAGTTCCAAATATATCTAATGGTACTATGGTTTAGCTGACATCTCTCTGTATTTTCCACAAAAATAGCATGATATACTTTATCAAATGATTTACTGAAAAATATATAACCTATGTCTATAACATTTCTCTGATCTATCAGTTTAGTCAGACTGTCAAATAACAAAAGTGGTTAGACTGATAGTACTTGTTTTTTTTGTTGTTGTTGTTGGTTGGTTGGTGTTTTTGCTAGGCAATGGGATTAAGTGACTTGCCCAGGGTCACACAGCTAGTAAGTGTTATGTGTCTAACTGAGGCCAGATTTGAACTCAGGTCCTCCTGAATGCAGGGCTGACACTCTATTCACTGCAAGACACTCTAGCTGCTGGAAGTTCACAAACTAGGTCTAGAAATTTTGCAGGAATGTCAAGCTCAGGGACCTTTCCTTTGTAGACTCTATTTGCTTCCCTTTTTTGAAAACTGGTACAACATTTACCCTTCCGTCATTCTGTAGTAACTTTCTCAGTCTCTATGATCTTTCAAATATAATTGACAGTGGCTCAGCAGTTCCCTCCATCAGTTCTTTCAGCAGCCAAGGATATAGTTCTTCTGTGCCTAGTGACTTGAAGTGATCAAGGACAGCTAGATATTTCCTTGCTATCTCCTTCCTTACCTTGAGAACTGACCCCCTTGTTACATTTTTGTTCTGTGCTTTCCAGTCCAGAGGCCATTCTTCTTGGCAAAGAAAACCAAAGCCAAATAGACATCAAGCAGCTCTGCTTTCTTTCCAATGTCAGTTATTGCCCTATGGTCCTCAGGCAGTGGGCCTGTACCCTCTCTGATCTTCCTTTTTCCCTCCATATAGTCAATGTGGCCTTCCTTGCCAACTCAGTGCATTCTGAGCTTTAGTACTACTGATACCTATAGATATATACATACACATCTATGAATGTGTACCTGCATGTTGTATATGTATACATGTATGTATGTATATATATATATGCACACACACATTATATATGTATACATGTATGTATATATATGCACACACATTATATATATGTGAACATGTATGTATGTATATATATGCACACACGTTATATATATATATTTACAGTACAGTCATGCTTTTGTATTCACCCTCTGCTACCTATCCTTTGTTGCATCTTCTACATATGTGTGTGTATACACACATGCATATGTGTGTGACATGTGTGTATATGTACATACATGTATGCATCGTAAACTATATATACAGAGAAATTTAAATATATATGTATATATGCCAATATAGATTTAATATATGTGTATATATACTTGAATACATGTATGTCTATGTTTGTATAGATATAGATGATACAGATATGATATAGGTAGAAATCTGTATCTGTTAGTGAGTTCTCTTTGCATCTACATCTGTCACTTCAGACACACCTTTTTTTCCGCTCTTTATTAGAATTGTTTCTCTTTGTGAAGCGAAAGCAGTAAGGCGCAGAGCCACAGTTCAACCTTAGACTCTCTGATTCCAAATTCAGTGTTCTCCATATTACTATGATGCTGCTCTCTATTAGTGTTTACTAGGAATTGTGGGGAGAGAACCTACCATGGAAGAGTGGAATTGAGAGCTGGACTTAGAACCAAGAAGACCTCAGTTCAAATTCAACCTCTGCCTCATGTTGTGTAACACTGGGCAAGTCACTTAACCTCTCATTGTTCTGGGCAACTCTTTTAAGAGTGTAAGTTTCAAAGAAGGTGACAACCTGCATTGGGAGAGAGCTTCCTCATCCAGAAGTTCCCTAACAACCAAAATCACAAATTCAGTTCTTATTGAGAAAAATAATTATTTCTGTTATATTGATAATCAATTATTGAATTACATTGAACTGAAGGACATTGTTGATAGATGAGATAGCCCAAATCCCCAAGGTACATGCTTTTCGATTGTGGGTAAGAGACCCTACCCAACTAGAGAAACTTACAAAGAATTTAATCTAAGGTGAATTCCTTTGTGTTCTACTCAGGCTTGGGTTAGGGTAGATCCTTTGTCTAGATTGCTAGGCACTGGGGGTGGTTTGGGATTGAGAGTGATCATAGTCATATCACCCCCAGTCGCTCATTAGACTGGATCCACCTCTCATTATAATATTCTTTCTTCTCATTGTTAATCAGTCAGAGTTGATTGCCATCCTCAGGAATACCCACTCTTCTAAAGGCATATAAGTGTTAAGTGGATTCCATCTGGCATTTAAGAGTGACACTGGCCCCTTTCATTAATTATCTGCTAGTATGATTAATAAAATGATTAATTACATAGAAACTATGTCCCTTAAACTTTTTATAACAAACATTATCTGGATGGACCTGGAGCAAAGAGGGTTCTGCTTCTAGAATTTGGGTCATGGAGCTGATGTCACGCAAACTTCAGAGTGTAGGTGGGCTTATGTGGCACTATTATGGTCACCTGTGAAAGTGTTCAGGCCCAGGTCACTTGGCAAGACCAATAAGATCGCTTTTGGCAAAACCTCCTGGAAATTCGCCAAAGCTATACAGTAACAGAAGCAAAAAATTATCTGGCTCCTCCTCCCATTCCTTACTTTAACACTTAAGGTAGAGCCACCTTTGATTGAATGGCATGGAAAACACTGGCACAGGACCACCCATCATGGCATGCCCTCATCAGAGAAGAGGCTGTGCTCTATGAGCAAAGCAGAATTGAAGAAGCTCAAAAGAAATGCAAGATACACAAATTTAGAGAATCCACCCCATGTATTCACATGGACTATTTGTGCCCAACCTGTGGTAGAGCATCCCAAGCTCATATTGGTCTGTTCAGCCACAGTCAGACATACTGTGACTTGACTTTAACATAGTGATGTCATTTTGGTCCTCTTCAAGAACGAAGGACAACAATTAACTAGAGCCATCTGACTTTCCCATTTGCAAAACTCAGACGTGGCCTCATTTATTTGTTAAAACATTTTTATCAGTGTAATGGTAATAGGATAATTAGAGGAATCCCCTGATCTAATGTCCAGAGGACTTCTACTAAATTGATACCCTGGACTCTTCCAATAGACCCTATGGCCATCCCCTTGTTAAAAGATATACAGGATCATGGGCTCCTCTTCGGTCCTGATGGTCCCAATCACTGGGAGGGAAGGGGCACTGTGTTGAAGATGATTGGCAACTGATTAGGACATAGGGTGGCAAAGATGGCAGAGGTGGCAGAGAAGAGACAGGTAGAAGTGGGCATCCTAAGACTTTGGAATCCCATTCATATCCTCTTACTGTCAATGATACCAAAAAAAAAAATCTGTGGTCTACAAGCATAAAGCCAGTTCCAAACAGGACATGTAATATTATCGATCAAGATCTATTAAAGAGTTTCATTTTTGTTGTATACCTAAATCTAATCCTTATAGTTTGAAGGAAACAGAGGGGTGCATTCTTCTCTATGTCATGTGCTCTCCCAACAATTCTCAGAATCTACTGTACATGGAGAAAGGAGGGAAAAAACACCAAAACATTTCCAGAAAAGGTGGTAGAATGCACTCTGCTGTCTCTTTTGGATGATTTGCAGGCCCTAAACTGATTAATTAGATGGGCCTGTTGGTTTATATACTATACAGAGAAGAAGTGAAACAATACAGAGGTAAGATTCATGCCAAGGAGAAGAAAAAATTTTAACAGTGCTCCCTAATCCATGCTTTAGTTATGGTGTCTGGATACAAGTATACAACTGAGATACTCAGACATGCAAAGAAGTAAAGCAAAATAAACAAAAATAATGGAAAGGGCACTAAAGGATCATTTTTCAAATTGGATAAGACCCTGTTGACTGGTGATGAAGGTAAGAAGCTGCCAGATGCAGCTCAGGATAATGCCAGAGACCTAATTCTTTCATTGTTAAAAGAAAATCATCTCATGAGACCACCGACTAAAGCAGCTTAAAAACTAATTTAGGAGAGCAGTGATAATTCTATGTTCTTGGACTCATACTTTTTTAAAGACCCCAAGTTTGTGACATAATATGATCATGGATTCTGTCCAGGAAAAAATCCAGACTACTGAAGG